TATATATATTATACCTAATATATATATATATATATATATATATATATATTAGGTCTACCGGAAAGTTCTGTCCGTTTTTGGAATAAAACAAAATACAAATTTTTCTTACCGTCAATAAACTATTAAATAATATAATTGCCATTATTATTAATAATTTCTTGCCAGCGTGAGGGCAATTCGTATATCTCATTTTTGAAAAATTAAGAAAAATTTGTATTTTGTTTTATTCCAAAAAAACGGACAGAACTTTCCGGTAGACCTAATATATATATGTGTGTACTCGCGACAATATTTCACGCGAAGCGGTATTTCACACAAACGGAAAATTTACACAATTACACCGGTGTAATTTGTTCCGCACACGGCGGAAAATAGAGATGTGGGAATGTGTGCGAAAGTCTGCGGGCGCGGGTATCTGAGATATGGTCAGAAAACTGCGATTTAATTAACGTAATTAATATCAAAGTCTCGAAACAATGCGCGTATCATAATAATGATTCGCAGGTATTCGTGGTATCGCGGGCGTTTTCGTAGGCAAAAAAATTCTTGACGCGGCGGCTCCAAAATTTCTGTTTCCGAAATGAAACAAAAGTTCTCGTCGAAAACTTTCGCCGATGAAATTCGCCGAGTAACGGAACACAGCGCGGGAACGCGAGCGCCTCGCGCGTTCTCCGTGTTCTCGCCTAATTCCGTTTCCCCTTTGTCATGTTGACGAGCAGCCAAAAAAAAAAAAAAAAAAAACACGCTGCCGCGCGTCGAAAATTCAACTCGAATAACTCGAATCCCCGTTCCCGTATAATCGTTACCACGTCCCCGCGTGGTAGACCCGCGAGACGGCGAATTTACTGGCCGGCGCGGAACACACAATGTTGTCGTAACGACGCGCAGCGGCTACGGGGACTTTGTGCGAACGGGCGTGATTCTAATTAACGTCGAGAATTAAACTTCAAAGGACAGTCCGTCGTGTCCGATTTGCTGTGACACCCAGTCCGTGCTTCCTACCTTCCGCTATCGACAATCCTATTAGCCGAGTGTCACATTGTCATATTCGGTCTTGCGAAAGTAAAATGATGCTATTTGACATAATAATTATGCGAGAGAGAGATAGAGAGAGAATTGCGTAATTATAGATACAAGATAGTTTCGTACAATGTAAAATGCGATAAATTAACAATAATCAAAAAATATATATATATATATATATATATTTTAAATACTTATCTGAAATAAGTATCTGGAGAAGATCTGAGAGAGCAGTCACATTTTATGTGTAGTGTTCGATTCAACGACATCAACTTTCGGACTTACGCAAAACAATAAATAAAATTTCCGCGAGAAATACAATGGGAATGAAAAATGAAACAAGACAGTGGTGCGCTACTACTGTAAATAGGATCTATTGAGGTCACTATACCGGAGACCGTTTCTTTTTTTTTTTTTAATCCAAAAAACAAGAAAAAGAACCAATTGAATCGCACGAAGAGAAAGGGAGTCGCGCGCATTTTCGCCGGGATAATGAGAAAGTTTCGCGAGCGTGGAAAAGAAGGGACATTAATGGAGAGAGAGAGAGAGAGAAAGAGAGAGAAAGAGAGAGAGCGAAAGAAAAAAGTAACTCGGAGTGGGAAATGGCGCGCGGAATAGGCGAACCCCCCGCGGTAGAAGACAAGGGGAGGAATTTACTTGGGAGAGTGGCCCGTGGCTGTTGGTACCCGGGTTTCTCTCGGGTTACCGGGAGAGGAGAGTGGATGATACGAATTTCCGGTTTCTCTCCTGTGCTTGCGCAGCAAACTCGCGTGTCTTTCTTCCGCCGTTCGCACGGCTATGTCATCGGAAAACGTGTGCATGTACGTATATACTTCCCTCCTACGTGCTATACGTGTACATCCGTGTATCGATGTATATATCCAAGTCCGACGTGTTTGCCCATTTTGTACAATAATTCACGCTATAGTCGCATATATAGTTTTTAAATTTACTGCACACACGCAGTACATATATCGGAGTTATATATCTCCGTAACAAGTTTTACGTTGTTATTTCTGAAAATATTGTATTTTTTTTTTTATCTGAATGTTTTTTTTTTTTTGTAATCCAAACGATGTTCACGTAAAATGTATATAGACGTCGGATGACAATGGCGCGAGTACATAATAGCGCGTCGATGATGGGGTTCCGTTTAAAATAGATCTTGTAAGTAACAATATCGCTCTCTCTCTCTCTCTCTCTCTCTCTCTCTCTCTCTCTCTCTCTCTCTCTCTCTCTCTCTCTCTCTCTCTCTCTCTCTCTCTCCCTCTCCGCCGTTGCGTCTTTCCTTTGGAAACTCGAACTTCGATTCCGAGTTGCTGGCCGTTGGTTTTACTCTCGCGAGCAAACTCCGAAAGAAACTCGGAAAGTGGCCGCGATAAAAGATATCGGAGAAGAGAGAGGTGAACCAGCGATTTTCTACCGATGTCGTCGAGGCAAGCCGACGACGAGGCTTGCAAGGCTCGTTACCGATAACGAGTCGCGAAAACCTCGTCGGTCGCATTGTGTGCGTCCAAATAATAGTTTGTTCCGACTTGAAGAAAAACTGGCTCGCGCGCGTAGCCCGCAGGCAAGACGAGAGCGCGCGTCGTCACGTGTCGTCGTCGATAAAAAAAAAAAAAAAAACGAGAAGAATCGCGCGCCGAAGAAGAAGTTTTCTTCTTAATTGGAAACATCGTGTCTGAGATATCGCGCGAACAAATCTGAGAGGCGTTCTGATGAGACGAAACGATTTTGATTGCGTCTCGTTCACACAGCGCGCGATTATTATTATCTTCAACCGACGTATTAAGTATTAAAGAGACGCGCAAATTGCTGAATACGAAATGTAGAATGCAGAATTTCGCGCGGGATGCGCGAAAGAGCGGGTAACGCGGCGTAACAAGCATTGCGAAGCAATCGGTTTCGCATCCATTCCCCCGTATTTCGCGAATTGCAAATTCGTATCGGCACTCGCGCAGCTTAACTCTCAAGTGGCTTTGTATACGTGGTCTTGATATATGAATCATTTAATCCAAGATAGTGTGTTGCATAATTTCTAATAAAAGATTGATGAAAGGAGAGAAACAAACTTTCTTAAAATTTTACTGGTACATTAAACGCGCGATTTCCATCCCGATATCCGATACTTGTTTTTTTTTGTTTTTGCGATATTACAAAGTAAAGTAACTAATAAAGAAAAAATACGTAAATGAGTAATTACGCGGAAAAAGGAATGCAAAAAAAAATCAATATTGATGGATATATACATATATGATATATATATATATACACAGGGTGTCCGACAATTACTTTAAAATCTCTCGTAGGCAGGTAGAAGGAGTAAAACTGAGTCGAAAAGTCCTGAACCATTTTTTTCTATTACATATGATAAAAGAGTAATTATTGAATAAATCAATCCAATCAGCGCCGATCTTTAGCCAAACGCACGTCAGTGAACCACGCGCCTGGTGTGCGTGAGCGCACACTTCTACTCCTACCTGCCTACGAGAGATTTTAAAGTAATTGTCGGACACCCTGTATATATATATATATATATATATATATATATATATATATATATATATATTTATATATTTATNATATATATATTTATATATTTATATATTTATATATTTACAGAAAAGAGACAAGCGCTGAAAATTATAAGACTTCTAAGAGTTTTTACTGTCTCTCTTAAGGAAATCCTAAAGTAGGTCTGTTTTATCGATAAAACTGAATTTTTCGCGCACACTAAGTTTTTTTTTGGCTGTATGGATCGACAAATCCTTTTCTACGATTAAAGTACATACAATAAGGGATACGGGAGGTCCAAATTTATATAACAAAATGAAAAAAATGGTTTAAAAAATTTTCATTTTTTTCATTTTGTTTGACGTGCGTTAGGCTAAAGGTCGACGCTGATTGGCTTGATTTATTCAATAATTACTCCTTTATTATATGTAATAGAAAAAAATGGTTCAGGACTTTTCGACTCAGTTTCACTTCTTCTACCTGCCTACGAGAGATTTTAAAGTAATTGTCGGAAAAGGATTTGTCGATCTATGCAGCGAAACAAAAACTTAGTGTGCGCGAAAAATTCAGTTTTATCGATAAAACAGAACCACTTTAGGATCTCCTTAAGGATCACAAACAAGATTTTTAATGTTACGACTATATTAAGTCTGTCATAGAAGCTTATATATATACAGCTTATTTATAATATCGCCGTAATAATTAAACCGGCGACGAGTTTCTCGAATTGGAAGAAGGCGACCCTCGGCGACCAGCGCAGATTCCCGGCGGAAGTATGCCTGCATAAACTTGATAACCGCGATGGACCAACGAGCGTAATTACCTCGTTATACCGTCGCTGTTTATAGCCTTCGTCGCGCCGCGCGGAAATATTTAATTACCCTCTTCGTATAATTCCTAG